GGCAACTTTCCGGAGTGACCTGGCTCACCTGCTGGAGCTGATTGGCACGGGCAAGGAGTCCCTCAGCTTCATGAAGAAGAGGATCAGGCACTTGGCCCAGCAGTGGCTCCGTGCGGCTCGGCGCCTCGAGCAGAAGCTGAAGGGACGGCAAAGGGACCAGAAACACGTAGGAACAAATTGCATGGGGGTGGTTCATGGTGCAGAGACGGGAAAGCTGAGCCCTTGGGAACATGGGGAGTGGAGACAGCTGGGATGTGAGCAAGCTGGGAGGAAAACTTATTTAGAGAAGCACATGGGTCTGCAGGGTCAGCCTGTGGTCCATAGACATGACTCCACATGCATTCAGGATGTGGCAGGACTGGTGGTGCTGAACAATGGGGTGGATTTGGAGATGGGATCTGGTGGGTGGGAGGCAGCATCCAGCTGGCAGCCAGCCACCAGCAGTGAGCAGAGCCTAGCACGTCTCCTCTGTGGAGGTGCTGAGGTTGCTGGCCCTCCCATTTGTGTTTTTGCTGTGCCCTGCCCTTCAGTCCCTGTGTGCCAGGAGATACAGCTCTGCTCCGTGGTTCAGATGGTGATGTACATCAGGAATGTGAGCCTCGTGCCAGGACAGAGCCAGTTGAGGGGAGGTGGCAAACTCTGACCACTGGGTCTTGCCTAAATGGACACAGATCACTTGTTTGCACCCTTGAGTTCCCTGAGTAATTACAGTGTGCAAAGGGAATCAGGGACCATAAGTCATTTTGGGCTTGGAAACCTAAATTGTCTCTTTGCCCAGTGCTGACCCCTCTCCTTGTCTCTCCAGATCTTGATCCATATTGGCTTCCTGACAGAGGAGTCAGGGGATGTTTTCAGCCCACGGGTGCTGAAGGGAGGTCCACTGGGTGAGATGGTGCAATGGGCTGACATCCTTGCTGCCCTCTTCCTCCTGGGGCACAGCCTGAGGGTCACAGTCTCCCTGAAAGAGCTGCAGAGGTGGGTACTGGGTGCTGTGGCCCCCACAAAGATTCTGCATGTGTGTGGGTTGCATCAAGGTCTTGTGTGAACACATGAGGTCTGCAATGACTGGGGGGTGGCTTTTCCCCCACCTGTGTCTCAGGCAGTGCTGGTGCTGCACTGGTGCAAGCACTGGGTGGGTGCAGACCACCAGCATCACGGCTAGGATCGATCCCATCCCTTCTGCATCCTGGGAAAATGGGAAGGACGGACACAAATTAAGGCTTTGCAGCAGAGCTTTGCTTGGGGCTGATGTGGACATGTCTGGGGCAGGCTCTGCCCTTTGGTCTCAGTGCTGGATCTGACTGGAATGGTCCCTTGCTGCCAGCACACAGCATCACCTGCATCTCCTGACACCTGCCTAAAGCTGTGTAGAGGAAAGGCTTCCTTTTACCCCCCATTCCCAAGGGATGCTCTCTGTGGGGCTAGTGGCCTTGTGGCTGCAGGATGCAGGTTTCCTGCAGGTCGCTGGCTCTTTCCACTCAAACCCCATGGCATTGCTGGTGTTGTTTGAGCAGTGACTATGCTCTCTTCCTTCCTTCCTTTCTTTCTTCCATTTTTTCCCCTCCCTCCCTTCCTGCTCTGCCACAAAGCAAGCATCTGGGGCAGCTGCCAAATAGAACCTGCATCCCTTGGAGGGGGATCCCAAGGGAGGTCCTCCTCAGGGGTTGCTGGCCGTGGCAGCCCCCAAGGAATCCCTCCTTGGGATGTGCTGGAGGTGGCAGCCCCCAAGGAGTTCCTCCTCAGGAGGTGCTGAGAGTGGCTTTGGGACCTGCAGGGGAATTAGCTGCTGCTGGAGGCACTTCCCACAGAGGGATGGGCTTTTTCTGCCATGGGATATGAGGTGATGCAGAGTGAGTGTGTCCAAGAGAGAGCAATATTAGATGGAAACAGTAAGAGGGAGAAGCTAACTGTGTGACACATTCCTCTCTGCTGATGCAGTTTTGTTATTGCTGGGCTGACACTGCTGCCTCCTGTCACCTCACAAGGTTTCCTAACCTCCTGTGAGACATCCTGAGTGGAGGGCAAGTGCCAGGGAAAATGCAAATTAGATGCAAGAAGAGCCTGAAGCTGCCTTGGGGACCAGGCAGGGTTTGGGGAATACTAAGCCAGTGTTGGCCACATAATGAGCCATGGTGAAAAGGGAGTGAAAAAACACAACAGTCAAACAACAAAAAACCCCCAACCCAGCCCCTGCAGCATTCAGAATTAATGAATGGAATTAGCTCCCAAGTAATTAGCTCAAAAAAATAATCGTGGTCCTAATGCAAGAGGCAGCAGCTCCTCAAAGGGGGAGTGGGTTGTGCCCCACTGCGATCTGGGCAGTGTATTGTGATTAACTGACGTGCTAAATAATACCTCTGTACTCAAGGATGAAAGGAGTTAATGGCTGGGAGGTTTGTGTTGTTGTGTGGGTTTTGGTTGTGGTTTTTAATGAAGACCCTCATGGTTGTTGTTTAAGGAGGGAAAGGAGCTGGTGGAGTCTTACGGGGGGTTTGCAGCAGCTGTTTCCCTCTGTGAGTGACTCCTGAGAGCTGCAGTGCCTGTAGTATTTCACCTTTCTCAGAAGCATGGGAGCTTCGACGTTGGTTGGCAGTGATGAGACCTCCTCTTCTGACGTGATTTGGATGTCCCCTGGGATGTGTGGGAACGGCAGCTCTGTCTCTTCCCCTTTGTAGCTGAGATTGAGTGAGCAAGTTGGTCTGAGGCTGCATATCTTGCACTTTTCTCAGCGACAGAAACCATCCCCACCTCCCCAAGCATGTGTCCTGTGCCTGGCTTTGCTGACATTTTAAATGCTGGACACCCATGTCAAGTGCTCACTTTGATATTGATGGGGTTGGGGAGGGCAGAGGCAGGACCTGGGGCTGTAGCCAGGTACCCTCTGTCCCTTTGGAAACTGAGCCCAATGCTCATTGGGACCCTCCTGCAGCCCATCAAGAAATGGGTTACTGTGAGTGTTAGAGGAATGGCAGAGGTTCCACCCAAGGGGAGGGCCAAGTGGTGCCATCAATCCTGCCCCATGCTTGCAGATCTCTGTCCCTGCTATCAGGCTGGTGGCTCTCAGGAGTGTTGGCATAAGCCTTTGCCTGGCCAGGAGTGAGTGGGAGGCTTAGCAGACCACATGTAATTAATGCTGAACTGTGCTAATAGTTAATCTTGGACTCTTTGTTAAAGTCTGGAGGAGACTTTACCTGTAGTCACAGCTTTGGGCAGGGTTTGGTATGCAGAGAGCCAGGGAGGCACAAGGGTCTGGGGCTGGGCTGCAGGGAGCCGACAAAGCTAAATCCATGTCACTGTGGAAGGCTTAGTCACAGTACTGGTTTCTTATCCCTCCTTGTCCCTCTGCAACCTCCTGGAGCAGCAGAGTTTTGCCCTGTTGTACACTGGGGCTGAATTTGTCCTCTCCCATCCTGGGTTTCTCTTGTTAAGTTTGCAGCAGGTCAGGTGCCAGTGTTGAGGTGAGTTTGGGAATATTTTGCTCCAACAATGTGAAATGTTGAACCTCTTCTTGAGTATTTTTCTTTGACAACCCCAGCTCCTTTCATGGCTCAGAGCTGTAGCTGCTCCAGCCCAGCACAGCCTTCACTGGCATCCATAAATTATTCAGCACGGATCAACCTCTCTCCTGGTTTGTTTTTTTGTCTCTTCAAATTTCTGAGCTGATTTTTCTGTGCATATTGATCATTGGCAAGGGATCACTGGGAGGTTTGCCTGCATACACTTCAGCCAGTGGTTATCTGAGAGCTGTTCATTATTAGCATCTGTATTGATTGCAATGCAGCAGTGCCTGGAGATGGTGATCAGGATTGGGTCTGGAATGCTGGGGATTGGGCAAAAGAGGAGGAAAAGCAAGTCCCTGGTCCAGAAAGCTGGTGATGGAGAACTGGTGGTGAAGACAGGTCTGGAGTGTGACCATGTGTGCTGAGTACCTCTCCCTGCCAAGGGGCTCCAGTGGGGGAAGCAGCAGGTGCCCAGTGGTGAGGTGCAGGGGTGTTAAACAGTTCTTCCTCTGGTTCTAAGCACCAATGCTGATGTGGAGCTCTGGGGATCTGCAGGTTTGATTCATGGCTCAGCTCAGCACTGTCCAAATGCCTCTACAAGGTCTGAAGTTGCAGCTGCTGAGCTCAGCCCTGGTTTTCCAGGGCCAGCCTAGGCTGGGTTTATCTTTTACCCACTACAGACCTTAAAGATCTATGAATTCCACTGCTCAGTCCTAACAGGGGCTAATTTTTCTCCTGTAAGTGCAGGTGTTTGCTCTCTTTTGCATTTCCTGGTGATTTTTTGAGCTGCTTCTGATGGCTCTTGAGAGGCAAGGGGTGAAACTTGGGGTTATCTGGTCCCTTCCAACCCAAATCATTCTGTGCAGCTCCCCAGGAGGAAAGCAAACGGGCCAGAGCAGGGAGGCAGGAGCTGTTTTCCATCTGAGTGCTGGGTGGGCAGCCATCAGCATTTTGAGCCCTGTCTTGAGGCAGGGAGGGAAGAAACACCCCAAATTTGAACACCAACACTTTATTCTTGCTGAAGACCCCTTGTGCTGTGTTGGTAGCCCAAATGTGCTTTCAGGGAGGTGAGAATCCAGGTCCATGTGCATGTGTGTTTCTTGGTAGGGGAGGAGTGGGAAGTGCCTGAAAGCCCTGAGCTGGGTTGTTAATGAGGCAACTCATCAGGAGATGTTGGAAAATTACAAGCAGCACTTCGGAGCAATGGCTGTGCCAGCACAAAAGCTGCAATAAGCTGAGCCTCTTCCTCCTGAACACCATTGCTCTGGGGTCAGGCAGGAAGGATATACTCAGCCTTCCCCCCCAGGAGAAGGGGCACAACAGGTACTGCTGGGACCTCCAGCTCCTATCTCCATCCTTAGGCCATGGAAAGGGTCATGTTGGCATCTCCAGCTGCTTTTCAGGGGCTGCAGGAGAGGCTGGGGGAGATGGGGCTGCGTGCTGTGAGCTGCAGGAACCATGGGAGTATTGATTTCAGTGACGCTGAAAGGTGCTTTTTGCAATGGTCCCTTTGAAATTAACTGCTCATAAGGCAGGACAGAAAGTCGAAGAAAATGGGATTTGATGCCTCTTGGGGTCAGGGCTTTACAAAGTGTTCCCGGAGCTTAATTGCTCCTGTGTCAAGTTCTGGACTCCTAATACCAGTCCTGGCAGGCACTTGCTTGTATCCCATGCTGGCAGCTCTTTCCCCGTCCAAAAAAATTTGGGTGATGAGCCACCCTCCTTGTGCTGGGGTGGTGTGGATGGGCTGCACTGGAGCCAGCACCATGGCAGGACAGGCACTGTGGCAGGACAAGGCTCTGCTGCTATCACTCTCTTCTCCGAGCCTGGCACACAGTTAGAGCTGCTACTTTCCTGCTCTTTCCACACTCACTGAGGTGTGTTCAGGCTGTAAAAAGGGCTGTTCAAATGGAAACACGATGTCCAGACAAATACATTTCTAATTATTTCCTGGCAGTTCAAAGCCATTTTTCTGTCTTGCATCTGTTCTCATGAAAACCTGCACCAGGCTCTTGGCTTCTCCTCCCCTCGCCAGCTGGCAAACACAGTCTTGCTGTTGTGTGGGAGAGAGGAATTGCTTGTGGAAACAGCCAGAAGTGACCAGTTGTGTGTGATCTTGATGGAGCTGCATGGCATGGCTGTGGGATTCATCAGCTTTATGCTGGTGGGGAGGAACCTTCAGCTTCAGGTGCTCCTGATACATGACAGCAAGTGTCTCTGTAAGCTGATGGTGCTGCTGGGTTGTTCTTTTTCTGGCCAGGCTGTGACATTCATACTGGGATGCAGTTGTGTAAGGAGTGCTGTGGGCTTTGGAAAGGCTGGATGTTTGGTTTCCAGGGCTCTGTGGGAGCTGAAGATGATGCCCATGATTGTGGGTACTCGACAGCTGCAAACCATTGCAAAGACAGAGATGATGAAGACTGAACCAAGAGGTTCCACAGACACTGTAAACAGCACTGTATGTCTGAGCTTCTCCAGTCTCTAATTTAATCAGGATATGTTTCCAGCAGGTACATGACAGAATATGTTGGGTTGGAAGGGACCTTAAAGACCATCTAGTTCCAGCCTCCCTGCCATGGACAGGGACACCTTCCACTAGACCAGATTGCTCAGAGCCCCATCCAACACTCTGGGGGATGGGACATCTCCATCTTCTCTGGGCAACCTGTGCCAGTGCCTCACCACCTTCACAGGGAAGAAAGTCTTCCTATTCTTTTTGAGCTGCTGGAGCAGGTAGGACAGGAGGAGACAGCCCTTCTGTCCCAGGATCTGCCCAGGCACCATGAGCATGTGAGTGTTCAGCTTCTGCTGTACCCTTTTTAGCTACCCTTTTTAGCTAACAAGCCCAAGTATTTATTTCTCCTTTTCTGGGAAGTTTCTTCATTATCTGCTGAATCTCTGACCAGAAAGAACTGTTTGCTCTGGCACCCTCCTGTGCTTCTACAGGTCTTGGTAATAAATACATGTATTGCTGAACTTCCCCCCTGGGTGGGTAGGGCAGTGTCATACACGATCAATGATGAGCCAGAGAAACAGTCCAGATACACCTTGCAAAAGTGAAAACCTTTGCAGGTGGCTTAAAAATCATGCTGAACTTGCTTGGAAATCAAATCTCACTTCTAGCAAGTGTCTGTTCTAGCAGGGGAAAGAGCTGAGAACAGGCAGTAGGATGTTCATCTTGTGGGCTTAGGTTTGCACTTTAAGTTGGTCATGATGGGATTGTCACAGACCCCTGGGAGCTGCTCAGGCTTGGCTCTGCCACCTTTCATCCCTAGACAAGAGCCCTGTGCTTGCTGGGCTCTTGCAGACCTGGAGAAGGCAGAGAGCAGTGAGGACAGGAGCCCTCCTCCATTCCCCCTGCTGTGCTGATGGCAGCAGATGTGGGCAGAGAAGATGCGATTAAATATAATACAGGATATTGGCCCAGGCTGCTAGGAGATGCCCACAAGATCCATTTAGTGCTGGACTTCTCAGCACCAGGAGTGATAATGCAGAAAGAAATGTTGGGTTAATTTGAAAATAGGTCAATGGGATGTAAAGATAACCCTGCAGTCATCTGATTGCCGAGCGCCTGCACCGTGCTCGGGGAGGGAATGGTCCCCTGGTTGATTAAAGTACCTATAAGAGGAAAATAGCAGGACAAGAAGCTGCTGTAGATTTATTCTGGAGTAGGCACAGCTGGTGGAGGCAGCTGGTGGAGAGGCGAGCTTGGATCTTGCATCATCTTGGACTGAAGCTGCTTAGGCTGCTCCTTCCCAAAGAGGAGTGAGGGCTCAGCCGATGCACTGTTTGGGATGTTGGGATGGGACAAGTCACTGGGTCACCTGCTCTGCTGGGGCTCTGGATGTGCTGAGCCCAAACACAAGCTGGTCATCATCCTTGGCTGCTTTGTGAGGGGAGTTTGGTCCAGGAGCTGGAATCAAGTGATTTCCAGAACTGATCTCTTGGCTGCGCCGGCTGAGAAAGCGACATTTGCGCTCATCAATTTTATTTGCGTAATTTCAAGCGCCATTAATAGTACATGGCATGAGGAAAAATCAGGGAAATTGCACTCCAACCATGAGTGAAATTGGGTTTAGTAGAAAATTAGTTGACTTAACTGGCAAATGATGAAAGCTTGAATAAAGAATGTTTAAATAAGGAGGAATGAAAAAAAAATCCCCCCTCCCTTCCCACCTCGGAGGTGCTGCCTGGATTTGCATGACTGGAATATTAAAATCAATGGTTATAAAGTGTTTAGGGGAGGATAAGGGAGGTAAATGCAGAGCTGCTCTGCTCAAAGCAACTGGTTCTGCCTGTAGAGCTATTCCTGCCACGCAGCCATGGCTCTGTGAGTGTAAATAGATGTGGCAAGTCCCAAGCACCTGGAGAAGGGGATGTTGGGCAGATTGCAGAGCTGGGGGAGCCAGACCTGCTCCACCTAACTGGTGGAAAGTTTTTTGGAGGCTTCAGTATGAATTACACTAATTGCTGTCTCCTGCAGTCCCTCGTCAAGCTTGGTTAGGGCCTTCTTCAATTACAGATTATTTTGTCATGCAGTGGCTCATGTGACACGTACCAGCTAGAGGATGGGATGTGCTGCAAGGAAAGTGTAATGCTCTGGGATTCTTAGTTAAATACAAAGTTTAGGGATTGGCTGAGTTGCTCCACCACAGTGCCAGGTTGTTGTAAACCATCACTTGACTGATGGCTGTGAGGAAAAAACAGCACAGATGTGAGCAAATGTGATATGTAGAATTGCATCTCTATAAAATCCTGAGGGTTTTTCAGTGGCTTAAAGTCTCCCCTTCAGCCTGCCCAGGAGGGTGAACCTCCTTGCTGTCGTATTTATTATACTGAGGTGGCTGTGGGAGGTGAGAGCCTTTCTATTCCTGCCATCTTCCCAATCAGTCCTGTCATGTAAAATTGTGCATAAAAGTGACAAAACTGCAACCTGTTCCCCCTGCAGCTGCCCTGGCTGAGCTGCCCTGAGCTGCTGCTGATATTCCTTGTGACAAGAGCAATGAAGCAGCTGCAGAAGCAGCTCTTCACCTTACATTGAAATCCTGTGGGTTTCTTGGCTTTGGTAAACGAGGTGGTTCCACATTTACACATTTTCTGGAGTCACCATCATGATCAGGAGTTTGGGATGACCTTCCACTGGGCTCAGGTTAGGATGGGGCTGGAAGGAGGATCTTGGTGCTCAAGGGCTTGCAAGCCATGTCAGAATCAGAACAGTTTGAGTTGGAATCATCTGGTCCACTCCCTGGCAATGAGCAGGGACATCTTCCACTGGATCAAGTTCAGAAGAAGAGGGAGATATGTCCAGGAGCAGAACAAGAGGCCTTTATTGTATCGCTTGTGGCCAACCAGTTCGTGGCTCTGTGTGACTCCTTCTGATGTTGGTCAAGACAAGTGAGATACTGGAGAGCAAATGCTTGTGATAACTGTATCCCTTGGCTTTCCCCATGTGGGAGAGCCATGGATTTCCTCTGGAAGCAGCCATGGGATCAATGGGTGAAATGCTGAGGGCTAGGCAAGGGATGAGGACCTTATGGAAATGCTCCTCAGAGGTTGGACCCTTGGGCTGTGGGTCCATTCAAGCTTCAGCTGAGTAACAGATAAAACCCAGGTAGGGCTGGAAGGAGAATTCTCAGGTTCAGAAGGGGAAATGCAGAGAAATTAGGAGAAACAGTAAGAGAGGTCATACAGAGGGAAAGCTTCAAAGCCTGGGAATGTAAAACACGTCTGGACCCTTTATTCCTAAGAAAAGGAGAAATACTTACAGGGATGGCTGGGATAAACTCCCATCTCCAAACAGGAGCTAGGAGTAAATGAAGAGCCCATAAGAAAACAAAGACAGACGCCTTGGCAGGCAGGAGCTAAGGGTGAGATTTCACAGTGTCTGAGCTCAGACTTGCAAAATAAAAAAAAATTCCTCAGCCCAGTTGGAAGGACTGAGAACAAAATGGGACAACTGCATGGTGGGAGTGAGACAGCCCAGGTGGACCAAGTCAGCTCAGCATTTGGGTTTTCCATGAGGATGTTCCTGTTGCTTTTTGTGTGAGAGTGGGGTGGTGAGGGTGAGGATGAGGAATTATTGTCTTTAAGAGGAAAAAATTACAAGAGCATTAAAACTGAGGAGTAAACAATTTGCATTTCTGAGCAAAACAGCACTCAGAAATCACAAGTACATGTAACAAGGATTTGTAAGAAACTTGCTGAAGCTGGAAGGTGTCATAAGTTTTTTTTCTGAGAAGGAAGAAACATGGTCCAGACAAGCAGATGGGCTGTCAGTCTGACATCAGTGGTACACTTAGTGGAACAGCTTTGGAGAGAAGGATTCATCGGTTCACAGAGGTAATTGAAAATGGAAGGAGATGTGCTGCAGGTTTACCAGCCTTGTGTCTTGCTGGATTAATCACATCTCACGCTGGCAGGGAGGTAACTGATGGTCTTGATAAAGAGATTGCAGTGGATCAAGTTTATCTGGATTTTCATAGTGCATTTTATCTGCTGGAGAAGGGAAGAGGGGCTGAGCATGGCTGTTATAAGGCACTGGCTGGACACCCCCTGAGTGAGACCCAGAGTCCAGCTGCCCTGGCTTTGTGCTATCATTTCATAAATGGAACCAGAAGTGAGAAATATGAATGAAATGTTCACAACTTCCTAGGACAGGCAGTGCCACCAGAGTCAAGGAGAAGCTGAGGGTGCTGTGGATGTGGTGGGTAAGGACTGGAGTAAGAGAAACGATGCACAGTATGTGTAGGGAGAGACACAGGGCTGGGAACACGAGGGTTTGGGCTAAACTGGGAGCCTTGCAGGCAGGGAGGAGAGGGAAGATGTGTCTTTACAAGTCTGTCACTGACGTGATTGCAATGAAAGTAAATGAAATCTGGTGTCTTTGACAAGAATGGTCCAAGGGAGTGTGTGTGGTGACTGAGATGCTAAGGAGACCTGGTGGGAATGCTGTGCAAAAGCCTCATTGTCCCTGTGGGAGGAGCAGGAACGTGGCTGGAGCAGGTGCAAAGATGGGGAGGGACCAGGACTCCCCAAAACCTTGAATCTTTGGCCTAGGAAGTAAAAACTGGGGAGAGGAGAAGCTCAGCAAGGGAGCTGGGTGATGGTCCCTGTTCAATGCCCGGCAGGGAGGGGAGTGTTTGTGTTGCAGGGCTTTGCTGGTGCTGGGGGCTGATCCCTCCTGCTTCTCCCCAGTCACTTAGGGGTTCCTCCAGGACGGGGAAACTGTCCCTTGACCAGTCCTTTGCCTTTCGACCTGATTTACACTGACTACCACGGTCTCCAACAGATGAAGCAGCACATGGGGCTCTCCTTTAAGAAATACAGGTAAGCAAAGCCACTGCCTTCTCTTCTTCTCCATTTCATTCATTAGCAAGCAAAGACTAATGATAATGATCTCGAGGGACAGCCCTCCATCCAAGGAGCCAGAACCTTTGATTGCACCTTTGATTTTTGCCTGGTTGGTGCCTTGCTGTGTCCCCTGCTGCCGTGGCATGAGGCATTGTGCTCTCTCCAGAGCCTTGCACGTTTAAGATAAAACCTCATTAAAACAGTCTGAATTGGGAAAAGACCAAACCCTGTATGAGCCAGTGGGGTGTGTGTGTCCTTCCATTTTCATTCCTGCAGCCAGGGGTGGGCACACCATGGAGGGAAGGGGATTTGTAAGGAGCCCTGTCCCTGGCTCCTTCAGCATCAAGACAAATGTCATCATCCCCTGGTACATCACCAGCCAGGAAAATATGCGATTTAATTTAGTGCTGATAGTCCTGCTATTTATTATGTTTTTTCCCCATCTCTTCCACTATCCTACACAATTTTATTAGAGAGAAAAACGACAAGCTGCGTTATTGCTTTTATTATAAATGCATTTGCTCTCGCGTTCGCCTTGTTTTGCTCTTCCCTTGCTTGTTGTTTCCCTTCTCTCCTCAGTCTTGTGCCGGTAATGCCTGCCTCAGCATTCCCAGGATATTGGGAAAAGCATTAATAAGTCTTCAGGAGATTCATCATTCTTGCAGGTGTCAGGGCGTTGAGATCACTGCAAGGGGAAATTGCTCCTTAAAGGAGAGAGCAGTGGGTTGGGAAGGGCTCCTTGGGATGCTCCCACACCCTCTGCTTGGGGCACAGGCAAGGGACAAGCTGTCTGGGGACACCAGATGTCCCTGGCAGTGAGGCTTTCTCCAGCTGAGGTCCTCAGGTTCTGTCTGCAATCCCAGGTGCCGTGTCCGGGTCATCGACACCTTTGGGACGGAGCCGGCGTACAACCACGAGGAATACGCCACTCTGCGCGGCTACCGCACCAACTGGGGCTACTGGAACCTGCAGCCCACCCAGTTCATGACCATGTTCCGTAAGTGGGGGGCTGGGGCACGATGGGGTAGTTTCAGGGTTCACAGGTACCACAGAAGCAGGTCTCACCTCCTCCAGGAGGTGATGCACAGGCAATGTCATCCTTCCTTGGCTCTGCTCCTGCTTCTCCCTGCCTGCAAGGAGCTCCTGAGTCTGCTTGGCCATCTCTTGGGCTGATGTTCTGGGAAGAGAGATCTGGCTCCTTCTGCTGGGATGGGTTGCTGGCTCCAGCAGAGTCAGCGCACAGCCAGCAGCTTCCAGCTCTCAGGAGGGGAAATGCAGGGTGGTTTTGGTTGCAAAGCCTGATTTGATTTCAGCCCAGGGTTCTAAAGGTGAGAGACAGCTCAGTGAATCAGATTTGCCTGTGGCAAGGACAGGAGATGTGTGAAAGGAGCCCAGTGACCCGTTGGCTGCTGGAAGAATCAAGTGTTGCTTTTTCCTGGCTGGATAAAGCCCATTTGGCTGCCTTAAAAATGCCTGACTTTGGAAAGAGCCACTCAAGTGGGTTCTAAGTCCTGGATTCCATGAGCTGCTTGGATGGGGATTCATGCCATTTTCCTCCAAGCTCCAGCAAGGCTTTGGAGCTGGGCTGATCTCAGCCCCTGTGCTGCAATGGGGCTACATCCTCAACCCTGGGGAGCTCCCAAAAAACATCTGTCCAGCCTTGTGTCTTCACCCACAGCTCACACCCCTGACAACTCCTTCATGGGCTTCGTGTCAGAGGAGCTCAACCAGACGGAGAAGCAATTCATCAAGACCAACAAAGTGAGCACCATGGCAGTGGTGTATGGGAAGGAGGCCAGCATCTGGAAGGTGGGTGTCCTTGGAATGGTGGGGAGAACCCAGGCAGGCAGGGGCAGCCTCTGGCTCTCACCCTGAGCTTTTGAGGGGCAGATGTGGGTGTGTTTGTGGAGGAGCATCTTTGTCTCGCTCATAGAGGAGTGATGTGACACATCCAACACCTCTGAGCAAACAGGGAGAGGCTGGTGAGACACCACTCCCTGCTCTTTGCTCTGGGTGATGCTTCCTCCCAGCAGGCTGCTGAGGCTGAGGATTTCGTAGCATTGATTTTCTGTAATTAATTACAGTGATTGCCGTTAATTAATTGCAGTGATTGCTGTCTTATGATGGAGATGGTTTGTTTCTGCTTTCAAGTACCCTGTGAAAGGGGGCTGTGCTCCCCCCACCTGCCCATGCCTGTAAACACCTAGGGCAGAGGGATGGGTGACTGCATGGAGACAGCACCCCCAACCCCCAGAGCATCCCCCAAAACATCTCCCCTCCATCTCCTACTGTGGCCACGTGTGCTCCTCGCTGTGTTAGCCAGAGCTAGCAAGCTTCTTCTCCTTCCAAGGCTTTTAAAAGGAGCTAATTCTCACTGTCTCTTGATTTATTTTTATTTTTCCCCTTTGTGCACCACCTGGGGCTGCTGCAGTTGCAGGTACTGTACCACACCAGCTGCTGCTGGGCTTTACCTCTGCATGTCTTCTCAGGAGGGAAAAGGTTTTGCTGGAGTCGACTTTGCCTTGACGTGGGTTTGGTCCTCTGGAGCTGCCAGGATTGATGTGGGTTGATGCAACTGGGGGATGTTACCTCCTCCCCTTCCCCATCTTTCCTGATTAGCAGCCACTAATTAGCAGGGATGCCTGCCGTGGGCCAGGATCCAGCCACGCCATCTCCTCTGTACTGTCTCCCTAAAAGACCTAGTGAAACCCACTAAATCTCATTTTAGGGGAACTGGAACATCTTGTTTTCTTTTTCTACCATTCCCCTGCCCTTTCTTATCCAGAAGTTTCATTTGAGCTTAGTTAGGTTAATTTGGGAAGGCACTAAAGAGAGTTAAAAGCTCAGAATGGGCATTTCCCTCCACCCTGAGTGCTATGAGCATTTGTTCTTTTACTCTGAATTCACAAACAACACCAGTTTGCCCAAAACTCTGCACTGGGTGAAGAAGCTGGGGCTGGTCCCTGCTGCTGGCTCTTTTTTGGGGTCACCTGGAACTGCCTGGGCTTTGCTTCTCATCTTGTACCACCCCATGGAATAAAATAAGGGGAAATAGAGTTTTATTCCTTTATTTTTAGTGATTTTAAACCTCCATCTTCTGGAGCCAGGTGCTTATTTACCAGACTTGGACCAAATCTGTCTCCAGAGCACAATATTTTTGACATTTAGAAACATTTTGTTAAACCTGTCTTCCCATTATTTCTCATTTCCAACCCCTCTGAACTTCTTGTCTCCAGCTTGCAACAGGAGCCAAAGTTTAAATAAGCAGGGAAAAGCTTGATTTTAGCCTTAGAGGAGTCCAGGGATCCATGGCTGAGGGCAGAAATACAGTGTTCAGGGAGACTTTAAGGCAATAGAGAGAGTTTTCTCAAATTCCCCATATATAACTCCCGATTCCCTCCCGGTCTCTGCTCTTTTGGGGCCTGTTGCAGCACTGGAATAAGCTGAAAATCCAGCACCCAAAGGATGGTCCCTTTGTGGTTTTTTTCAAGCAAAAGCCTTGTGCAGTAGAGAAATTGTTAAAATAAAAGGCTAGTTTGGAGCAGAAGGAGGAAAACCTCCTAAAGAAGAAAATTGATGACCCCCTTCATTTTCCAGGTAGTGAAACAGGATTAAACCTGAGCGAGAAAATCCTGAGGACTTGTTACTTGGAATAAGAGGCTATTAGCAAGCTCTGGTCTTTGCAAACCTTCTTCTGAATCCCCTGAAGCCTTTAATTCAGCAGCTCCAGAGTGGAAATTGTCCTTGGGGGCAGCAGGGAAGGCTCAAGGTGCCTGTGCTCAGGGTGATGGATCCTGCAGCCACCTGAGCTCGCTGGGAGTCTGGGGCAGTCCAGGATGTGTTTCCAAGGAGTGAGGAGGGGGAGGATGTGAATTTTGCACTGCTGTGGGTGCTCCAGGACAATTTGAGTTAAATCTCCCCTCTCCATGTGTGGAGGAGGTCAAACCCATCTTCTGGTGGTGCAATTCACACCTCTGTCTTCCTCCCCAGGGCAAGGAGAAGTTCCTGGCCATCCTCAACAAGTACATGGAGATCCATGGCACAGTTTATTACGAGACACAGAGGCCACCTGAGGTCCCAGCGTTTGTGAAGAACCATGGGCTGCTGCCACAGCACGAGTTCCAGCAGCTGCTGAGGAAGGCAAAGGTGGGGGAGAGCCAGCTGGGGCATCCCAGGACCCTGTTCCCCATGACCTGTGTTCCTCCAGGCTTGTAGGTGCTCTCAGCTGGGATAATTAGCCAGGAGCCTCTTAGTCAGGATAATTAGCCAGGAGCTGAGCAGAGCACATAATTTCAGATCAAGATGTGGCTGATGAGTTTCTCCTTGCAGACTGTCCGCAGGGCAGAGCACAAAGTTTCCTGATTAACTGATCTATTGCTAAGTGGGGTGGGGGTTTTTTTTCATCCTGTAGCTGTGATAAAAATAAGTGAGATTCTCAGAGGGAGCATGTGGGTGTTGGTGCATCCTGGTCGCCTTCAGCTGATGTCTGGGGGAAATGTTCTTGATTCACCAGCCCAGGCAGCTTTGGCAAAGCAATATTGCTCCATACAGGACCAGTGTGATGGTTGTAACTACCATGGGGGCACTTGCAGCCTCTGAACACCCCAGGACTGTGCACAGTGGGCTGTGAGCTGTGGAGCAGGAGGAGCTTTGAGCACATTTAAGCTATGGGGTGTTGAACCCCCTTAGAGGCTTGGTGTGCAGGAGCAGAGCAGCAGAGAGGGATGCTGGTGGTGGGTTATTTGGGAGACTTTCCTATGAGGTTGGCCATGTTTGCTCACCAGCACTTGGGTTTCTCCTTTGCAGCTCTTCATTGGCTTTGGGTTCCCCTATGAGGGTCCTGCCCCGTTGGAGGCCATCGCCAACGGCTGCGTTTTCCTGCAGGCAAAGTTCAACCCTCCTCACAGCTCCCTCAACCACGAGTTCTTCCGCGGGAAACCGACGTCCAGAGAGGCAAGTGTGGCAGGAAGAGAGCAGATGGACTGGATGGAGCCACCCCCTTTACACCAGGGCTTGGGTCAGCCTGGGGGAGAGCAGTTGCTGAACTGAGGGTACTTTTTATTGGCAAGATTTCCTCCAACTGCAGAAGTGTGGAGAGCTGCAGGTGGGGTGACATCACCTCCATCCAGAGTGCTTGGATGCAAGGGGCTCTGCTGTGGGTTTGGAGTTTCAAGGAGAAGGTGGTGCAAGAGCCTTCTGCAGACCACAAACCCCAGCTCCTTCCCCACCAGCCCAGATCCATTCTCTCCCCACACCCTCTTGCCAAACCAGGGCGATGCTCCCCTGATCACCATTTCACCCACTCAGAGAGACACTGGGACCTCCACAGTGTTGCAGGGATATGAAATCCCTCCCAGGCTTGGCCATCACTGGGAATTCAATCTAAGTAGAGCAGGAACTCTTTAAAAGTTAAAGGGTTGAGAAAATTGCCTCTTTTATTATTAATAAAGTGGATAATGCAGTGCATAGCTCCCTTGCTGAGAAGGGAGTGAGCTGGGGGACTGTGCAGCTCAGCCCTGCCCCAGCCTGACTTGGGGGCACCTGCCACGGTGTGGGGGGCACTGGGCTGTCCTGGTCCCCTGTGTCTGTCCCATGCACCCCCTGAATTAACTGCTGGTGTTCTCACCTATCCTGGTGGGTGCTGTGGCTGTGCCTGGAGCCAGGATGACAGCCAGGGGCAAGGGCTGTGAAATGCCTCAGGGTGTTTATGTGCTGGAGGGGAAGGAGGTGATCAATCTGTCGGGAAGGAAATGAGAACGGACAGCAAACTGGAGACTAAAACACACAGCTCTCCTCCTCCAACTGGCAGGCCCCTCTGTGATGTTTTGTGGTGCCCCCAAAACACTTCCTCAGCATCAACTCAGCATCTTCTCTCTTCCCTTCCCAGAGGAGATCAGGGCTCTGGCTACTCACAGCCGTGTGGGGCTGAAAAGACAGATCAGGGGCTGAAACAAAAGAGGTAGATCCCAAAAAATCCCCTGGGTGGGTGGCTCTGGGGTACCAGTGTGGTGTCTGCCTGTGGCATCAGGGTGATTCAGCTTCCAGCACTGCTTTCTCTCAGTGCCAGACTCCTCCAACATTCAGTGGTAACAGATTTTCTTTCTGCCCTGTTTCTGGAGCTGGGAAACGTGGTGCCTTCAAACATCTCTGCTGCTTTGGTCTATTTTTTGCCATTCCAGGCCAACAAATGGCTCAGGTCAAGGATAAATTGTACTGGTATTATGGAGATATTCAGGACTGTGGAGGGATGCCAGTACTGTTGGG